TCAAGGTCGTGAGTAAAGTTGCTCTTGTTAAGATTAGCCATGATGAGAGTGTCGAGTGTGACTGGAATACCACCGCGTGATGAGCAAGGCAATAGCTGCGCCTCCGAAGCAGACCTCTTTGACGCTTTGGAAGCCGGCTCACCAACATTGGAAGCTGCTGCTGAGCACTTCGAAGAGGACTTCAAAGCTGTTTGCTTATCCTTCGAAGGTGGCTTCGAGACAGTAGCCAGCGATCCTTGACTGGCGTGTCGGAACTTCTTGAGAGTACTGCCAATCGTTCCATCACAACCAGACATGGTATGGCCTGAGACGTAGAGATATGATTTACTGAAATCATGGAAGCACAAACACATCGAGATTGATTAGTGAGCTTACCCCAGATGGTGCTTTTCTTCATAGCAAAAGGTTTGATGAGTAGCTCAACCGAACGATATACTTCGGAATAGCTGACAGCTTGAGCGACACCAACACCACCCTCTTTGCAATGGTCCCGTTTAAAACCTGCGACAAAAAACAGAAACAAAAATAAAGTCAGCCAGAAATAATGAAGCAGCAACATCTAGAAAATATATGACGCTACCTCTATAAGACCAAGCAACTGGAAAGCCAGGATTACATCCCACTTTCATGAAAATAACATTTTTCGTCCACTCCTTCTCATAAGGAGTGTTGCCTCTCAAATGTCTCTTCAGAACGTACTAAATGCGGAACGGGAGGATTACGTTTGTGAATCAACAACCTGTTTTGATATTTGCTGTGGGGTTTGAAGTAATAGGCATATAGGACTTCTTTTATCCCAAGGTTAACAGAAAATAACTTTCCAAAGACTTGGATAGCTGTCAAAACCCTTGAATTGGCCCGGAGAAACGTTCAACTCTGTGGCAACTTCAGCGATTAGGAAAGGAATTCTATCTCGTAGACCTAAAGCAAAAAATGCTTTGTAGATAACTAATTCGTCAGGTGCGGAATTGCAAGCACGCTCAGTCTCCAATGGAACTCTGAGAGCTACAGACGGAGGAATTTTGTAGATGTTTCGAAGCTCAAGAACATCATTAAATGACAGAGTAGAGCTCCGGTTGTTCTCAAACAGAGTATAACTACAAGGTTTGCGTGTTGCTAACACCTGGACGTCGCTACTAGCAGAATTTCGACATGAGTGGACTGTGGAATCGCAACTGAGCTCAGTTTCGGAGAAGATGGAAGGAGCTCGATGCTAAGTTGAACGCTACAAACAAGCTTACAAAGGCTCAAAATAATGATGTGAAAGGAAAGAGATTCTACACGCAGAGCTTCGAATGGAGCTGAGAGTTGTTATTAAAATGGCAAGTCTGGAACAAAGAAAAAAAGAAAAAACGACAGCACAAAGTGTCAGAAACGATGGTGCAGAAATAGATGAGGAAGAAGGTGCGAAAATGAAGATGAATAAAGCTTGAAGTAATAGATAAGGAATTACCTGCGAAATTCTCCATGAACTGAAGCTAAAAATTGGCTGTAAAATGAATGGAGGCAGGAAGCTGGTAAAACAGCGACACAAAAGCTCTTGTCACTTAGGTCAAAGTGACTAGTTTGTTGGGCTTGGTCTTTAAAAGCCCATTCGACTAAAAATTATGGGCAATAGACAAACTCTTGTTTCACGTGGCTAGAAGGAAGGTGGAGCCCATTTAAATAGAATGTGGGTGATTAATAAAGTCCATTATGTGGATTCGGTGTGTGTTTCAAGGAAGACACATTAGTTCATGTAAAAGTGAAATTGAAAGTGTCCTACTTAACTATATGAAGCAACATTGTCATGGTATTCAAGTCGAGATGTCCATATATCTTATGCCACGTAAATGTTAGCGAGTAATTTCAAAGTAAAATTATTTGTCTCGAGGTAATATAAGATCTACTACTCTCTAAATTCTAAATAGGAATTAGAGAGTGGGGAGCAAGTTGTTGGATAAAATAAAATCACTTATAGGACCTATCAGGTAGGTTCGACCTGTGAAAGGTTCGGCCCACGTAAGGTCTGAATACATAGTAAGGTCGGATCGACACAAGATCCAAATAATAGAAAAAGGTTCGACTAACAGAAGGTTCGAATAAGGAAAAGCTTAAACCGACAAAAGGTCTGAATCTTCTAGAGATAACGACTAATACCCTACACGTCATCCTAATCCAAAAGGCTTAGGGTTTGGGAGATGCTTATAAAAGTAGGAGCTCTCGAATGACAAAGGACACGAAGCAATAAGAGCAGAAAAATCCTAGAGAGCATTTTTTTTTTGCAATAGCTTAGCACCTGTGATATATTTGTAGTTCGGAGCTTTGTTATTGGAATAAAGATCTCTTTTTCTCCTATCGATCTGTAAAACTGTCTTTCATTCGAACCTGTTAAAATTTTTCCAAACAATTATAATAAAAATTATTGTAAAATTTCGAATATATATATCTTTAATATATATATATATATGAATTGGTATTATTTTTAAATATATAAATAATAATTAGGACAATAAATAATAAATATTTTTTTATATTTAAAAATAATTAATCTTTTCCTATTTTAATTATATTTTGTTATTTATAATAATATTTCATATAATATAACTTACACATTTAAGTTTATTTTTTAGTTAGATAACAATATAGAGATCTTTAATTATATCTAATTTTCTTATAGACAGAGCATCTTTCGGAATTAGAGATTTAACAAACACTTTGATCGAAGAGAAAAAGAGACGTGAAAAGGAACGTAGGCGTAGCTTTGACTTTGAGATTTCAGATCCTGATGTGAAGAAGTAACCTGTTTTTCAGTTTTTCTTCTTCCTAATCTCGTAGTACTACACGACCATGGATTCTGATGAGGGAGTCTTACTACCAATCCACCAACATCCTATGGTGCCTTGGCATGAAAAGCGGTGGGGTGATTGCTGTGGAGAGTACGAATCTATCAGCGATGACTTTTATTGCAAGAGCTGCGATTTTTTCGCCCACAAGAAATGTAGTGAGTTCTCTCAATTTCTGGACCACCCATCTCACCACAGTCACACTCTTAGGATTTGTAATTTACCAGGTCGTTATTGCAAATTATGTGGAAAGAATATCGACGATATATTCTATCGTTGTCAGACTTGTGACTTCAACATAGATTTACGTTGTGCTAGTTATCCACCAGCAGAGGTTATGGACGTTTCCAAGAAGAATACTCTGATGGTACATGTCGTCTTTGCGAGAAAAAGATTGATGAGAAAATATTTTATCATTGCTCTTCATGTAACTTTAGCTTGGATATGTGTTGTGTCTCAACCCCACCACCACTATCTCTTTTGAATTTGAAAGCTCATGATCATCAACTCTTCCTTCTCCCAAGTTTTGTTTCTTTTACTTGTAATGCTTGTGGGCTCAAGGGAGATCGAAGCCCTTATATATGTGTTCAATGTGGGTTCATGATCCATCAAGACTGCATTGGCCTTCCACGCGTGATTAACATCAATCGGCATGATCATCGTATATCTCGCACTTCTCTTCTATATGTGGAGTTTGTCGCCAGAAGGTGGATTGGACTTGTGGGGGGTATTTTTGTCATAAGTGTCCTAGCTATGTCGTTCATTCGAAATGCGCCACGAGAAGAGATGTCTGGAACGGGATGGAACTCGAAGGGGTACCTGAGGAAACAGAAGATACAGAGCCATATGTTGTAATAGATGACAACACAATACAACATTTCAGCCACAAAGAGCATCACTTAAGACTCAACACTAATGGTCTTCTCTCCGAGGATAACAAGCATTGCAAGGCATGTGCCTATTCCATCGGTCTCCAACCCTTCTATGGCTGTATCATGGATTGTGATTTTTTTATCCACCAAATTTGCGCTGGATTTCCTACAGGGAAATGGCATGTGTTACACAATGAACGACTTACTTTAGTTACCAGCGAGAAAGCTTGGTTCTATTGTGATGCTTGTGGTAGAATGTCCAACGGTTTCAGGTACCAACATGGAGAAACAAATTTAGATAGGCAGTGCAGTTCAATTTCTGAGCCATTTGTCCATCCAAGTCATCCCCATCATCCCTTATATTACACTTCACCAAATGAAGAAAGACAATGTAATGGTTGCAAAAGGTGGAAATCTCAGCTTCTCATGTGCATTGAAGATGGTTGTGGATTTCCTTGGACTTCGAATGTGCCACTTTACCACAAGTGATAAAGCATAGAGTTGACGATCATCCTCTCTCTCTCTTTGCTACGGAGAGGAGGCAAGTGGTAAATATTGGTGTGACATTTGTGAGAAAGAAACCAATTCAGAGAAATGGTTCTACACATGTAAAGATCACCGGGCTAGTTTGCATACAAAGTGTGTGCTTGGAGACCTTACAATTCTCCTGCCAAGAAGCACAATAAATATTTGGTGCATGGATAAATTTGAGGTGGTGCTCAAAAATGCTATTACTCGCCCAATTTGCAAGAAGTGTACATCGCTCTGCATATACCCAATCAACTTGAAGCAGCTTGGAACCTCAGATGTATACGTTTGCTCTTTTATTTGCTATTTTCAATATTGTCAAGAGCTACATATCAACATGGCAAAGCTCTAGTTACAGTGAAACCAATCGCCATTGTTAATTTCTCTTTAGTCTTGAGCCTTGTGTCTCTACTTCGTAATGTTTGGTCAGATCAACGGGAAGGTGAAACTGAGTGGTGCGCAACTGCCCGAAACGTTCGAGAGTGCGTTTGGACTCAGCTTATAACACAAAACAATGAATTCAAGTGTTGTCGATTTTTTTTTTATATGTCCATGGAGATTGTCTGTTCTGTTATTAGAGCTTTTGAGTTCTCACTTTTCAAGGACTTGGGGTTATAATCAATACAGATTTGGTGTATTTGATGGTTTGGTCGAATGATTCAGAGAAGTTAATTTTAAACAACATTCTTCTTCTGCTTTTTCTTCTTGCTCTGATTTGAGAAATACAAAAGATTATTTCTGCTCAATACGGTCTATAAAATCCATTATTTCAAACTTTTTTTCTTTCATTCCGACATATATTATGGAAGATAAATGTACAGATAATGAGTTTATAAAATTAAGAGACATCACAATTCTCATATGTACTGAAAGGCATCTGGATATTCACAATTCCACAGAAGATATATGTACAAGTGATCTCTCTCTGTATTATTTTAATTATGCAAAGAAGCACTGCTTTTTTTCTTCCTTTAGCCAGTTTCATCAAATGCCATCACCTGCAGTAATTAGATTGGAAAATTGGGTAAGAATGTCTTTCGAACTATAATATTACACTGCATTATCTCCAGAAAGAAAATCATTAATGGAAAACTCTATACAAACTGATACAATTTAATATCAAGATTGATGGAACATTCGACCAAATCTGAAGTTTAGAAACTTTTGTAGAAAGCAACGAGTTACCTTTCCACAGACGGGGCAGGTTTCACTTCTCTCCATCCATTCATAAATACAGCTAAGGTGAAAATGGTGACAACACTTTGTGATTATTTTCGGATTCTCTGGCGTGTAATCTGCACATTGCAAAACATTAGATTACTGAAAACGTTTACTTTATGAGTTGAGTTCTTCAAATTCAACATAAACCAACCCAATCCTCTACTTCAGATCTCCCTAGAGTTTTCGATATGCGGCAATAAGCATAAAGATCAGATGAATATAAAATGGATTCAAAGAGACTAATGTAGCATATAAAATTTATAGTATTACCATCGAGGCAGGTTGGACAAATATCCTCATCATCGGAATCTGCATAAGAAAACTCTATCCCCAGCACTTTCTTCGACTTTGTATTCATTGGTGAACCTTTTGAATACACTTCTTTCGAACCATCTTCATAATCAGACTTACTCCGTTTGCCTCCACCACCCAAAGCTTCAGAGCTCATTTCAGTATCACCTCTTAGCGGTTCAGCTTCTTCACCCGAATGGCTCGAGCCCTTAGCCAAACGGAAGTATCTAGGATCAGCGTCGTAAGGCAACGGTCTTGGAGGAGAATGATACATACTAGACAGAGATGAGTCATCAAGTGAAGTTGTGGAATTCATCACTGAAGCAGTCTCAACATTTGGAGGTATCTGATGCATTCCTCCTCTGTTGAATAACGAGGCATACTGCAGAAAAAAGTTATAGAGTAAGTTTCAACAAAACCGGAAGTTGTATCTCCCAAAAACAAAGATGTATACTTGTAATTGATATCCAAACAAGAAACCATTCAACAAGCATGAGAAGACAGATATTCATGTTTTGATGTAACTTTTTGGAACACAATTGTCATTCCTGCTTCTGTAAAAGGATCACATGATTCGAACGAAGGAGAAGAACATACCAAACCCATGACATTATGGAGGAAGCAATTAAGGCATGGACAGTTCCTAGACATGGAAGTGTTTGGATTCACATAACTCTCAAAGAGATCAACTTGAAAGCAACAACAGAGAGCTCCCATCTTCAACTTCCAAAAAAACCTTCAAAATTAATACTCCAACCTCAAGAATCTTGATCAAACCAGAAAAAGGTTTAACAAAAGCAAGTTAAAATGAGAGAGAGGAAGCCAATTTCACAGAAGATTTTCACTGCCTCCTGAAAAACAGAATCCTCTCTCTTAGGTGCAACAACTCTTGCTCCTACAGTTGAATCGCCTGTAAGAGAAACATATTAAAAAAAATCGAATCAGCTGATTACGCTCAAACGAAATGATTCCAAAATCTAAAAACGTTTAGAATTCCGCAGTTCTTTGAGGGTAAAAATTCAATCTTTAATAGACGATCATAAGCATCAAACCAAAATAAGAGATTCTAAGCTCATCAATAGCTTCAGAACAAAAGGGTTTTCGAAACCGATCCTGTTGATCATCAAATACAACTTTTTCAAAAGAAAAAACAGAGAAATCGAAGAGCACCTTTGAGAAACAGGCCTGAGAAAACCCAGAAGCAATCAATGAGAATTTTCCGGTATGAGAGGCTATATATCAATCTGTTGACTAATTCCTTGATTGAAGGTTTTCAAGTTTGTCGAAACCTTTTTCCGGCGAAAAAGTGCAAAATGATCTTTCCCGGAATAATAGCGATTCTCTCTCTCCCGTCTTTGTCTTCTTCTACCTTTTGATCCATTAGTTTTGGTTGAAATATAAACCAGGAAAACAGAAAGTTTCGGTTACCATCCTTTTATTTTTACCTTTATCTAACTTTCACCTTAAAGTTTTGATTATAATTTTAAGTTATTCTAATTTGACCCATATGTTTTGTATACAACAACTCGACCCAGTTACACCTATTACCGATCCGCGCCGCTGGCCAAAATTTATAAACCAAACCAAACCCCTCTAAACCGAACCATAAATCCTAAATCTGAAAGAATTAGAAAATTGGGATAAAAGTTTCTATTTTAAATTATCTGAATCCAATTTTTATCAAATCCAGCTGAATTAAATCAAAATTTACTAAAAATTATCATTTTAATGAAATATATATAATTTTTATAAAAAAATAATAATCAAAATTAATATTTTGTTTTTGTTATGATTTTTATTCAAATTTAAACTGAATCCAAATCTAAATCAGACCAAAACTTTTAAACCCAAACAGAACCGAACAAAATATAATTTGATTTCGAATGGAATTTGGTTTTCAAGAATCCAAAAAAACCCCAAAATTTGAACCGAATCAAACCGAACGAAATAACCGAATCCAACCCCTACGAGTGAGTCTAACACTTCCAGAAAAATACGAGTTTGTTTTCTTAAGTTGCACCCTGACAAAGCGGGACCTTCATTTTGAAAATCTCTTCTCTCTAAATCCTTCTCTCTCTCTCTCCGTCGCAAGTTTTCCCTTTTCCGTCACCGGAACCGGCGATATTAGTCTCCGGTCACTCCAGATCTGTTCTTCTATTTCTCCCAATTGGTGACTGCTTTTGAATAACTTTAGGGGTTTCGCTACGTATCTCTTTCGATTTTGAACAAAGAAAATCCAATGTATGAGTAGAAAAAAAAAATTGGAACTTCTCCTGAAGAAAGGATTGATTTTTAGAGAATGCAGAGCTTATTGAGCTCGTCTCCGACACCGGAGGCGATTTTAGAATGGCTACAGAAGGAAATGGGTTACATGCAATTAGGTCCGTATATTAGTGGGTCAAGCAAATCTCATGTCCCTTCCATTGATGCTATAAAGAAGATTTGCAGAGGTAACATGATACCTATTTGGAGTTTTTTGATAAACCGAGTGAAATCGGAGAAGACGGTGGAGAGGATTAGGAGGAACATTACGGTTCATGGAGGAGGAAGCAGCAATGTTAGCTCCGGTAAAGAGGAGAGTAAGGGCAAAGGAAGGCGGAGAGAGAAGACGGTGACGGGAGAGAGTTCGAGTTATGCAGAGGGTAGAGAAGCTGCGTTACAGGAAAGGGAATTAGCTGCAAAGGAGGTTGAGAGGTTGAGGAACATAGTGAGGAGACAAAGGAGAGATTTGAAGTCTCGAATGTTGGAGGTCTCTAGAGAAGAAGCGGAACGAAAGAGGATGCTTAACGAAAGAGCAAGTTACAGGTTTGATTTGAATCTTAGATTTTTGATTACTTTGTTTCTCACTTGTAAAACATGAGACTTTGTTCAACATCAACCTGTATTAAGAGACTGGCTCTATTGAAATGCGTTGAATCTGTGATGTATAGTAGATAATTGCTCTGTTACATTTTTATTTTCAGACACAAGCAAGCATTGTTGGAAGCTTATGATCAACAGTGTGATGAAGCAACAAGAGTATTTGCAGAGTATCATAAAAGGCTACAAGTCTATGTTAATCAAGCAATGGATGCACAACGGTCTGTTGATTCGTTGAGTGAGGTATCAAGCAGCCTAAGTGCTAACAGTGAGAGGGAAGCTGTTTATTCCACTGTCAAAGGAGCAAAACCTGCAGATGATGTCATTCTCATGGAAACAACTCGAGAACGAGATATCAGGACGGTTTGTGATTTGCTTGCAACACGCATGATTGAAAGAATACGCAACTTCTTCCCTGCTTACGAAGGAAATGGAATTTGTTCACATCCTGAGCAGGAAACTACCAAGTTGGGTTTTGAATATGATGGAGAAATATCTGATGAGATGAATAATGTTATAGCAGATTCCCTCAGGAGTCCTCCTCTACTGCTTCAGGCTATTGCTGCGTACACTTTACGCGTTAAGACCCTCATATCCAGAGAGATGGAGAAGATTGATGTCAGAGCAGATGCTGAGACGCTAAGGTGTCTCCTGACTTTCCTTCTTACGCCACTCTTTATGATTATGCACTCCTGCTTCTTGCGGGTTCGTGAAGTTATGAAACTCATCTTGCAAATTGTTACACATTCTGAGTACGTTGCAGCTTGATTCTATTCACATGTGTTTGATCTGGTAGATATAAGCTGTTCCTGGACTTCCTTTATGTTTTGTTTGTTCGATGATAATTGTTACTCTATATATTTTCAAATTTTCAGTTTTCAGTCTACTCTCTTAAGTTCTTGTTCGAGGGTTGCTTAAGGCTAATGTAAGCAATTTGATGTCAATCTGTTTACAGGTATAAGTATGAGAACAACCGGGTAACAGACAATTCTTCTTCTGACGTGAGCTCGCCTTTGAGTTATCAGTTTAATGGTAATGGGAAGATAGGTACAGATACTCATTCCCAAGGATCCAACAACCAGCTCCTTGAACGGCAGGTTGCTTTCCTTGTCTAATTTTACTGATTTCTTCTTGTTAATTTGGACATATAGAGAAAGGAGAACTATGCTTCAAACCAATGTTTAATTCAGACAGATATAGTCGGTTTAGTCTTCCAGTGCTGCATCTGTTCGTGTTGCACCGTATGGCCATATGTTTAAGGTCTGTTTATCTTACCTTCCACCAATGCTACTTTGTCCAGAAAGCGCATGTTCAACAATTTTTGGCTACTGAGGATGCACTAAACAAAGCTGCTGAAGCTCGCGACCTATGTCAGAATTTTATAAACCGTTTGCATGGAAGTGCTGATGCAGCTTCGTCACATACGCTTGCTGGAGGCAAAACACAGCATGTTAACAATCTTAGGAAACTTGAGGTAAATGCCAGATTTCCCTACGTTTCTTTACTTTTTTTCCTTTCAGTTGAATCTAAAAAGAAAAACTCATGTTCTTTGTAGTAAGTTTTTCATTTGAGTTGATTGTATTCCTTTTGGCACTTGCCACAGCCTACTGATTCGCACTTATCATGAATGCCCACTATATGTGAGGTTCATGCTGATATAACAAGCTATCCATTTTTCTCCTTTGCAGTTAGATGTATGGGGAAAGGAAAGAGAAGCTGCTGGTTTGAGGGCTAGCTTAAACACATTGATATCTGAAATACAACGGCTAAATAAGTTATGCGCAGAAAGAAAAGAAGCCGAAGGCTCCTTGAAAAAGAAGTGGAAGAAAATTGAGGAGTTTGATGTTCGCAGATCCGAACTTGAAACCATATATACAACTCTTCTCAAGGCCAACATGGTAATATCCCAACTGATTCTCTCATAGAATTACTAAAATGATAAATACTATGAGCACCACTCTGTATTCTGACCTCCTAATTTTTATAGGATGCTGTTGCATTCTGGAGTCAGCAACCACTAGCGGCAAGGGAATATGCAGCAGCCACTGTAATTCCAGCTAGTGAACTTGTTGTGGACATTTCAAACAGCGCAAAAGATTTCATTGAGAAAGAGGTGTCTGCTTTCTTCAAAAGTCCTGATAACACTCTCTATATGCTTCCAGCAACTCCCCAGGTATGTAAGATGTGAAATGATATTCTACTGTATTTTATCTATTCATTTCTGCGTGATATGAGTGTATTTCAGTTTATTCGTAAAATATATTTCACTCAAAATTGAAGACTGATAGTTGTAGAGAAATACAAAACGAATAGAAGTTGCATATAGGAACATGTGGTATATGTTGGAAGGGTCTTTTGGTCTGTAAGTCAAAATAATCGTGCAGCATAAAATAACTTTGGCATATTTATGATTCAAACAACATTTTAGCTGGTCTCATCGGTGTAACAGAATGGGCAATTAGAAGACTTCGTGTTCTTTCATTCTAGCGAACTTGCATATAGATGCCTCGACCTGTTCATATTCTAAACACCTTATTAATTAGGGACTTCTGGAGTCTATGGGAGCTAATGGATCGACAGGACCTGAAGCTGTTGCCTATGCAGAGAAGAATGCTACTTTATCGACTGCAAGAGCCGGTGCAAGAGACCCATCAGCAATTCCATCTATTTGTCGTATTTCTGCTGCCCTTCAATATCCTGCAGGTGAGGTTTCTCTTTTTTAATTTTTTTTTTTTTTCAAAGACCTCCCATAGTTCTTCCCTCCGGAAAAGTTATGAGCATTGAACAATGGAAAATCTTGATTTCTTAGTTTCAAAGAGCCGAATGAAACCAGTGCTCACTACCTCGTGAAACCAGTGCTCACTATATCTTTTAATGCAATCCAAAATCAAACGAAAAAGAATATACAGAAGTTTATCTTAGCACTACTGGTTCATCTACCTAATACGTAGATTGAGGTATGCTAGATTAGCCAGTAGGTTTGATGACAATCACTAGTTGCATATCAGCACCATGCTTTGAATCTGCTGCCAATTTTAATCACAGAAAGTGGAGCACCTTTAAATGAAATACTTAGAATTCTTCGTAATATTCTTAGTAGGATTTTCTTATGATCAATATTCTTGCTTTTCAAATAGGTCTGCAGGGTTTAGATGCAAGCCTGGCCTCGGTTTTAGAGTCTCTTGAGTTCTGCTTAAAGGTTCGTGGTTCTGAAGCATGTGTTTTGGAAGACTTAGCCAAGGCAATCAATTCGGTGCATGTACGCCAAGATTTAGTTGAAAGTGGTCATGCTCTGTTAGATCATGCTTCTCGTGCCCAGCAAAAATATGAAAGGTAAGTGGTGTTCTTTCGTACTCTGGTCTACACGGGCCACCATTATCCTATTCATTGCCCCAATCTATTTGTTGATATGCCTTGACTTGTGTAAACTTTCACTGTTGTAACTTTCTGTGCATTGTCTATGTCAATATTGTATGCAGGGCAACAGATTATTGCCTCGATCTAGCTACTGAACAAGAGAATACGATATCGGAGCAATGGTTGCCTGAACTTAAGACTGCGGTCCTGAATGCTCAAGCTGCCTCCGAGCACTGCAAATACGTCAGGGGTTTGGTATGGAACTATTTTTAAGTATTATTCTTATTTATTATGATTAATATACTATTTCTCATTTTAGTCTGTATCGCATTAACATTGTGGTTATAACAGATTACATTCCCACACTAATTTGCAAGGTTTATATTGAGTAACAATGGATATGTTGCGGAGTAGTCATGATTGTTCCTTATGATTAGATACTAGTCCTATCTACTGATAATGACCGTCTTAATGTGTCTTACCTTGAGTGTTCTTAAGCTGTAATAGTCTTCTCTTGGAACCATAAATGAGAAGCATATCAGCTGCTTGACAATGTTTAAAGTGTTATAGCTTTTGGGATTTAACTCTTTAAGCTTACCTTTTATTTAAGTTTTACATATGAAATGTTCAGGTTTTCATATAGCAACGGCTTATAAAACTACAAATAAAGTTTACGTTTTCTAGTCTTTATGTTATTTATGGGTTGTTTATGGATATATTGTACTAAAATCCTACTTTTCTTCCTTTTTTTTAATACCCTGAAAATATATTTGATTGTATTTTCAATGCAGCTTGACGAATGTTGGGAACAGCCAGCAGCAACAGTTGTGGATTGGGTCACTGTAGATGGTCAAAATGTTGCAGCTTGGCAAAACCATGTCAAACAGCTTCTCACCTTTTACGATAAAGAATCATTATGAACGTTAAATCCCATCAATGACGCGCTCAATTCTCTACTCTTGGAATTGCAAGTTTCTCTCTGGGGTGAAGAAACCCTTATTTATACTCTACTGGTGGTGAATCAGATCTTCAACAACAATGTTTGCAAACAGGGAAAAGCTCGAGTTACGATTGTAAAGAAAATGGTAACTCTACTTCTCTGATAATAACGGTTGTTCGTGTGTCATAGTTTGTGTTTTCGCAATTTGTGTTTCGCAATTTGTGTTTTTTACTGGTCTAATTATGTTTGATTCTCTTAATCAGTCTTTAGATTTGTATCACGAGGTTTGTGTTTCATTCATTATTAGCCTAGACGGATTAGTTTACTCATTCTGCAAAAGTATCTTACTTTGTAAGCCTTTTTTCTTTCCTATTTAGCTTCAATCTGTGAATGTGAATGTTGAGGAATAATAGTTTTTGTGTTGTCAACAACTTGTGATGTGTACAAGTAACGATCTTGAGAGTTTTACTTTTGAGGCTTGCTCTTGAACATTAAACTCTCGTGAAGTTTGGATATTATTGTCGGACAACTATTGTATCTGCAAAGTAACACAACGGAAAAGAAAAACCCACAAATCTAAATAATTTTGGTAATAGTTTTATCATAAACAGAGGGATATATCAAAGTATTTGTGTTTTTTGGATCCTTGTCTTCCCAGAAACTGAATTATACGAAAAGGCGAATCACGAGACAGAAAACAACAAAAAAGCTTTTTGAAAAACCCCATATTTCTGTGTCTTCTTATATCAAAAAGAACAAAACTATTCAACTATAGCAGCACAGAGCTCAAGAATGTCTTCTCTTCTCATCCTCTTCTTCATTGCCTTAACATTCAATATACACTCTTCAAAGGCAACAAATCCACCTGTAAGGATCACTGACACTGTCCATTGCAACCCCAATAACCTCTACTCAGTCTCTGTCTCAGGTATCAATCGACAGAAACTGGTTTTTAGTATTGAGACAATTTCTCTCTTCTCTGTTCTGATAAAGTTTGTCTTCTTCTGTCTGGATTTGCGCAGATTCCTCTGTTGAATGCAGATTCAGACGAGTAGAACCGAGTTTCGGACAGGAGAATCAAAAGCTGTTCAAGAAATGGGACACCGTTTTAGACGAGCAAACCCAATGTGAAAAGAGAATCAAAAGGTGTTCAAGAAATGGAGAAAATCAGATCTTCTTCGCCGGAGAGAAGCGTCCAAAGAGAAAGCCTAGACGGATTCTGAAACAAATAAAGAAAGCAAGTCAGGTTCAGTTTCAAGACAAGGAGAAGAGGATATCAAGATACCTGCAAAACAAAAATTTAGCAGACAAGAAGTTCTTCTTCCCACATCCATGGTTTCTTCCTCCAAACCCATTTGCACCACCACATTCGATTTTCCCACCAAACCCATTTGCACCACCACCTTCTATTTTCCCACCAAATCCGTTTAAACCTCCACCTCCTTCTATATTTCCTCCAAACCCATTTCGGCCTCCACCGCCTCATTCGATTTTCCCACCAAACCCGTTTCAGCCTCGTCCTTCTCCTCCTCCATCAATATTTCCTCCATTGTTTCCTCGGCCACCTCCCACTCCTCCTCCATCGTTTTTCCCTCCAAACCCATTTCAGCCTCGTCCTCCTCAACCTCCTCCTCCATCGATTTTACCTCCAATATTTCCTCAGCCTCCTCCTCCAGCTCCACCTCCTCCTCGATCAATATTCCCTCCAAATCCATTTCAGCCTCGTCCTCCTCAGCTTCCTCCTGCTCCTCCTCCATCTATATTTCCTCCAATCATTCGTCAGCCTCCTCCAGCTCCTCCTCCTCCTCGATCGTTTTTCCCTCCGAACCCATTTTAGCCTCGTCCTCCTCTTCCCAGTACTCCTCCACCGCGCTCTTTCTTTCCTCCACTGCCTCCAATCTTTCCAGGCCTAAATCCACCACCACCACCACCACCACCTCCTCCTCCTCCACCTCCGTCAATATTTCCATTTCCTCCATTCCCATTCTTTCCACCACCACACAACCCTGGCCCTCCTCCTGCTTTATCTTCTTCAGCAAACAAACAACCTCATTAATCGAACTTAAGTTGAGTAAGGTTTATACAAGGGTATAGAATAAAGATGAGTTCTCTACTTCTACTGAAAATTGTATCTCTTCTTCAATATATAGATCTAGATACTCTGTCTCATATCAAACTTAAGTCTTATGATAACATGGACTGCCTTATATCAAACCAAACATGATACAGACATGTCAAGAAGTACAAAATAAATTCCCCGATTAGTACTTTGTAGTACTAGTTTGAGTACCGTAGTGTGAGACAGTGAAGGGCAAAAAGTTATGGATATATATATATATATATATATACTTGAAAAGTGCCATTAAATGGATCAATTCCTCTTTATTGAATTTTGAAACTTGCTACATATCTTATTTTCTACATCATGACTCATGAGGACAGTCGCAGCTCGATAGAAGTAGCGAATCACAGCTATATACATTAATCTAAAGCTACAGATACCCCCAGAAAAATTTAAACATGAAACAGTTGTCATAAAGTAGAAAATAAGAAACCAGATCTCTTATCTTCTTATCCTCTTCTGGGACTGATCTAATTCTTTGCAGATGCTTCTAGTTTCAGCAGGAGAATCCCCTTCTTCATCAGTGATGCTATTACAATGATCCTAACGAAATATAAAAGAATTGAGCTTAACGGACATAAATTTACAAGAATCACTTGCAGAGTAGTGGAATTTTTTTGGTTCTTTCAAGTCAAAATATTACAGACATACCTCAGAAGCAAAAGCACTGGCAGAATACGCGCGATCTGCTCTTTTCCGAAGGTTTAACTTCACAGATATCAAGGTCTCCGACATATTGACACCCGATGACTTAAGTGCTTCGGTTAGATTGTGTAGTACCCTGTTCCAAAAATCAAACCAAAACCAATATGAGCTTCAATCAAATAAATCCATCTAAGTTTGTTCGAGTACAATAGCAGTTAGAATCTTGAATTCACATACCCAACAGCATCACTACCTATTTAAGTCCTCTCGTATACTTCCTAGTAGAAACATTCCAACTTTGGACTATGGTTATGACACACCTATCTCTGTAAGACTTCCTAAGTTTCAATCAAATCAAACCAAAACCAGTATGAGCTTCAATCAAATATATTCATCTATATTTCCTCAAATTATCCTTTTCTAGACCCTGAGTTTGTTACAGTAGCAGTTAGCATCACTACCTATTTAACTAACTCACACCTTCTTCCAAAAATAGAAGTAAATAAACCTTTTAAAGTTATTATCATCTACATATGTCTTACCTTTGGGAGCAGACATTAGACAAGCTGGCTGATGTTTTCTCGTCCGAGTTTAACAATTCTTTCTTATTGCGATCATTTGATCCACAACTCGGTCTTGGTTGCCAAAAGTCATGCTGAACAAACTGCAGCGGAGTCTCGGTAGGTTCATAAGACGAAACTGCTGAAACATGACTGTGTTCGAGAATCTTGGTAGTAGCTGCTGAGTCGTCGACATAAAGATCCACAGGATTTTGCATATCCGAGAGCAACCCGGAAGAAGCAGCAACTTTGTCGTTACTTGGAAAGCATTTAACGATATCAGGATGGTCACTCACCTCCCCAACAGGGTCGTGATTATTTCTCTGCATTCAATTTTACATGAAACAGTTGTCAAAAAAGACCCACTAGACAAAACAAAGATGAATCTCATGTAGCAACAAGAAAGTGAATACCCATGGAATCAATTTGGTTGGGGCTTGATACCACATTTGGTGAGATCCTTCATACATTTGAACTTTTTCTTGTAGAAACTGAATATACTCTATAACCTGAAGCAAGTAAAAACCAAAAATTTGATAAACATCTAGGAACTGAAACACACTTATTTGGTCATAATTTATGACTCATCAAGTTACATCTTCTTCTACCTCCAACAAGAAAGATGCTTTATCTCGTTTCTGATCATTCTGAGGTATAATGTCCATTAAACTCTGAAATCTGCATACCCACAAAAATACAAATAAGGAAGAAAAGTTTACTCCTTTTAGTGAAAATCGAAAATTTTGATATATGAACCTTTCATTGATTTTGCTTCTTCTTCGCTGCTCAGTCTCGGAATGTTTCGATCTAAGCGAGCTGCGATTCCTCCTCGTCATCATCCCTGAGATTTTAAAGTACGGTACAATCGGATTCTGTACGGAAAATGGAAGAATCAAAAGACCTGATAAAAGTCAGAATACGAACCTGTTGAAGAATCATTTTGATGAGAAGGCAAGTTACTGTATACATCCGCCTCTAATTGCTCATCGAGGTCAGGAGAGTTCATAGTTTAAATAAAGTAGACGAAATCGGCACCGGAGATGGTGCAGATGCGAGACGAAACTCCGGCGAGAGAGTGTGTGCGATAAATTTGGTGTATTATCTTGAGAAGAAGGGGAAAAGGATAAAGGGATAAAACCCAAAAAAAAAAAAAAAAAAAAGCCCTAGATGATATAAATAGGCCCAAATAGTAATAATAGTGATTTTTGGTAATAGTGGTTCTTACAAGATCATAGTTGACCAAAAATCAAAAACAAAAAGTGAAAACTGTATATATAACAAAACATAGAGTACTGCTGATACCATGTTGTAAAATCAGATGAAAATAACATGTAGGTGAAATTAAAAGGGAATCGTATAAATGCAAGAGCTAAAGTACAGGAACTAAACACACAACGCAATATAGGGTTTTTCTATACTTAAAATCTGTATATCTGTTAAGAAATCTTACAAGTTCTCTCTAATACAATTTAGACAGACTTAAGACAAACCTTTGATCTGCAGTTTTAGTTTTGCCTATTCTTAGATTTATATGTGATCTAAGAACTTTTCTTAAAAACTATTTAATCTTTAATAATCATTCTTTACAAGAATCTCTCACTTTTATGCTAAGTGATTTCTAGTAGATTTGTTAAGCACATACAATGCTTCAATGCTTCAATCTGGTAGACAAAATGACTATACATGCCGAAAACCTTTCTTAGAGATAAAACCAAATTTCCAAAAATATTCCTTGTTTCCTTAAACTTTTCCAGGATTTAAGAAAATCTTCCATTCTCCTAGATCATCTCCAAAATACTCAGCTCCATTCAGTAAAAGCTACACGTCCAACTCTACTTCTCCTTAAGCTCTAAGTCATGATTTGCTTCGCGCTCTCCACACTTGTGTCACTCCGTGTTCCAGCTCCACTGTTCAACTGCTTTAATATCAGCTATATCTTCAAATAGAGGGATATTATTTGTTTTGTACAAATTAAGATTGATTTCTCTTTTTTTTCTTCTATTTCTTCCTTTTAAAGTTAGTTTGGTATGTTTTGTTACTTAAAAATTAGAATTTAAAAAATTGTTAAAAGAAAGATTAGAGATTTTTTTAGAAAAACAAGTTTCACCAACGTTGAGTTTAGAAAATAAGGAAGTTTAGAGAATAAGAGCAAATACAAGACTTGGGAACTTTACGATTCCTAAACCATAGAATACCAAGTCCCCATTATTAACAAGAAACAAACGAGAAAACCATTAACAGTAATAAGAGTGAACTGAGCTAATATGAACGGTTGACTACTTCATTAAGTAGCAATATATATACTTGGATTTTAGTTTTCGGAAAGTTTCAGAGTGGATCGTAGGCATTAATGCCTCTGTAGAAATGAGAAGAAGTGTAGAGACTGCATGCGAGCATTGAATGTTGTTTTCAAAGTGAGAAGAACTCAAAGACCTTGACATTAGTTATCTAATCCAAGTATCTTCCCTTTGGTATTCAGGTCCGGTTCCACGTTCTCCGGTTTGATCGAATCAGAAAATCTTTTAGTAAGTGTGACTAGAAGACCGTGCTTCATTCTAAGAATTGGACCAGGGGCTGGTTCAATCTTCTGACCATTGACAACTTCAAAATCATAGTTTAGTAATATCTCCACGACCACTGTCTTCATTAGAGTCATAGCTAACTGCTTACCAAGGCAAGATCTTGGACCCGCATTAAACGTAAAGAACTTGTAAGAAGGCTCTTCTATCAACCTTCCTGTCTTTGATGAAACCCATCTCTCGGGTTTGAATTCCAACGCGTCTTGTCCCCATACTGCTTCCATCCTCCCCAACGCGTAAATAAAGATCAAAATCTTCATGCTTGCGTCCACTTTATGGCCACTTGGAAGCACGTCTGGTTTTATGGGAGACATGCGCTCGAATGGAACCGGCGGGTAAAGTCTCATTGCTTCATACAATGCGCCATGTAAATACACCAGTTTGTTCAAGCACTGCATGGAATCGTTATTAGGTAAATTTGTGTTGATCTCTTGGCGAATCTTAGTGACAACTTGAGGGTTTTCGGACAAAAGCAAAAAGAACCAAGTGAGACCAGAAGCAGTGGTATCTCTTCCCGCTAGAATGAAAGCTAACATGGTGTCTCTGAGAAACTTATCATCATTCGGGTTCAAAAGTTCGTACTTGGTTGCATCTAACTTCATGTGGGATGTCAAAAGATCATGATCAGATTCTCCATTGGAATTATGATCACTAGTAATGATCTCTTCTCTCTTAGCTGATATAAACTGTGCACACACTCGTCTCAAAGTGGCGTCAGCTTTGAACAGCTTGGTCTCTTGTCCGAACCCAAATCCATCTTTGCAGCTTCCACAAGAACCTAGGCTTCAAATGCCTATACATAATGACTTCTCCTACATCGTTGAGAGCTTTCGTGAACTCATCAACCTCTGGCATCTCAATGGAGAGTGATCTAGGATCAGCAGATCCAGTTACTGTCATTAGGGTTGTGTCAGATGTGAACCTCACGAACACATCCTGCAAGTCCACGACCGTTCCTTCCTTTGCAAAATGATCGAAAAGAGGAACAAGCCCGTCATTGATTTTTCTTCTCGTGGTACTCATTGAGAACCTTTGATACCCTTGGTGGCTAAACATGACTTTAGAAGCTTTCCTTAGATTCTTCCATAGCTCCGAGTCCGCGGTGAGTATCCCGTCTCCAAGAACATCGAATACTTCTTTGAAGTCAGGACCTTTGGTGTAGTTGGAGAAGTTTGAGCTCATTATGTGATGAATATTTGCTTGATCAACCGTGAACAACATATCCATTCCAGAACACCATGGGCCCTTGAAAGTAAACGTCAAGTTAGATTTCCGGAGAATCCGCACGGTAAACTCATAGATCTGATGGAACTCCACGAGCAGACCAGGAAGCATCCCTAAAACTGGCCAGTTTCTAAGGGAGCTGTTATGAGGTTTCTTGAAGAGCAAGAAACAAAGAATGATAAAACAAACGATGGCTAAGGAAGCTTCCATTGGAAAAATTTGGAGGTTGATCAAATGTGATATTTTGGGATGGTTTCTTTTAGTGCAGAAGGCACTTGATTTATACACAAACACACACACACACATTATTAATGATTCAACAACATAATATGTCGACGACGATGCAAATTACTCACCACAAACTGAATTACAAGAATTTGTGGATATTAATGTTTGGAACTCGTTTTTAACATGTTGTACCCGTCCTCTTCCGAACAACATTTTGGCAAAATTCTTCGCTGTCTTTCATATTCATATTAAATAATATTTGATTGATTTATCACAATTTCCAAAGGAATATACATTTCGAAATAAATAAATATATATTCGCATATAATATATACAATATGTTCATATATGTCACATTTCGATGAATAATTTAAAACATAAAATTAATATATCTATTCATAATTATATGTATTCTTCATCTACAATTTCTTCATTATACATATTTAATTATAATTGCGTTGAATTTATAACTGCAAATATGAGGCAATTTTAATACACAATTCAATTCTTAAACTAATAACATACAATTTGACCCAAAATGAGTAACACTTTACCCACACACTATGTCAATTATCAATATTTTAAAATTCGGCCATTAAACTTAACAATATACCCAATTAAATTAAAATATTAAAAAACGTCCAGACGTTCGGTTTAAATCATCTTGGAATAAATAAGTCTCATTTAGTATACAATATTATTATCCCTATTAAGTTGTTTAATGGTTCATCACATTTCCAACTGACAAAGCATATTCTCTTATATTTATGTTTGATATTGTTTCGTTTTTTTATATCAAAAAAATATATTTATATCACTAATTAAGTAAAACAATGTACCTATATATTTGGTAGCTGTTTACATTTCCTATTTTAAATTGAAACAACTATTTTTGTTAAATGAACAAATATTAATTAGATTTGGTTCTTCATATTTATAAATACCGAAGTTAATGGTGTTATATATTTGTTTCCAACTTCTTCCACTTATTTTTATAGTTTGTTTTATTAGGATATATTCGCATACAGTAAAAAAATATTTCTTAACTGGTTTGGTATAGTAGTTTAAAAACCCTAGATAATACTAACTATATATAGGTATCAGACTGTGGATAAAAGTTTATCATATTACATCTTAATACAGTCCATTTGCTTAATTGTTTGTTTTGAAAACTAACATGGCAGGTTTTTAGTTTTTCTCGACAGTTTTAGTTTTACTACTTAAGGTTTACACTTACATATGTTTTTTTTTATTTCTACCAGAAAATATGGATTACCATCTTCCTTTGTCGCTTGGCGAAACTGACGTCAGACACGGTAAAGTCATTATGAAAAGCAAATTTATGGCTTGGATGGAATGTAACCAGAAGTACCAAAATGGTCGACACATTCTATACAGTGAAGTTCCTACCAAATTTGTGTGGAATGCCAGACTTAAAGAATGGAGACTCAGAAAACGTGGTGTTGGTCAATCCGGGGTACTTAAAAAGTGTCCCATTGAAGATTCCGAGCTTTTTTACTTGTGGTTGTTGTTGCACATCGTAAGAGGTCCTACATCTTATGATGATATTAAGACTGTTGATGGTGTTACTCATCTCACATTCAAAGAAGCTTGTCTTGCTAGAGCATTTGTCCTATTTGAAGATAAATGATTCCTTTATCTTTTTAAGTATTCAGTAATAAGTTTATTGATAATTATTTTTATTTTTCTTAACATTTTGGCTTTTATATGTAGCCAAAGTATTCAATAACGATGTGCATTTTACGAAAAGTGAAATGGAATAACTCTTTTAATATTTCTTTACTACTTATAGCTTCATCTCTGTCTGTTTATATATAATTTTCGCATATAATCTTCATCTCCACGTTTAGAAGTAAACGCAAATTATATAATTTGGCCCATACAATATTGTATGAATATATATTTGATAAACCCATAAAGCTTTAGGTAGTTATATAACAAATTCATTATATTGTTGTACGCTTTAATGATAATCTGACATTCTTTATGCAATAACTCATCGATACTTATGTATAGAATTGGATGTTTGTTTATGCAATAACTCATCGATACTTAATTTAAACATAAGATAT